GCGTGTTTGAGTCTACTGCTGTGGCTATTGTGCCAATACATCTCACCGATGGTCTCCCATGCCCTTGTTGGCCCTTTACTTCACCAAACAGCATATCTTCTTTTAGTGATTGATCCCTCCTGATAACATGTCTAAAGCAAGCAAATCGGACAATGTTCTGTTATGATCCATAGGTTTTAACTGGCCTTTCTTCCTAGTTTGTTTTAATCTGGAAGCTCTGATGAAACCTGTCTACCACGATGACCCTGGTGGTATTTGAAATAGTGGTGGTAAAGCTTCCATCATCATAGCAATAAGCAAACCACAATAGTAACACAAACTGACAGATGAGTAGTGTGGTGGTTAAAGTTATATATATGTCAGCTTGGCTAGGCCTGGTTTTGAATGGCTGGACAGCTGGTATTCCCTATGATGAGATGGGAATTAACCCCATGGTGGAGTCTACTAGAGCAGCTGAGTAGCTGCTTTAGGGATGGGTGCTGCTTCCAGTATATAACAAGCCACTTTGACGAAGGTCTCAAGCTTATGGCATGCTTGGACCCTGCATGTAGCTCAGTCATTATTCAGCAGCCTGCCATGTTGTCTGCTGATCTTGAGACTCTTAAGAGACTTGAATCAATGGCCTGCTGTGTGGTTTGGTAATATCAGGACTGTGCCTTGTTACTTGCTGACCTTGGGTTTGTCAGCCTCAGTAGCCAGCAGCTGCCTGAATGAAGAAAAGCCTCCAGTTTCAGCGGGCTGGGAGCAAGAGGCAGAGCTGAAGCCCAAAGTTGAGGGGCTTTCATTCAGCCCCTAGAGCCTGGCACTTTGAACTTGGGACTTCTAGCCTCCCAACTGTACGAGAATAAACTCCTGTTTGTTAAAGCCATCCACCTGCGGTATTTTCTGTGAGAGCAGCACTTTGTTGTTGTCGTTATGTGCCCTCAAGTCAGATCCAACTCATAGCGACCCCTCCCTTAGGTTTCCGAGGCGATATCACTATGGAAGTAGATTGCCCAACCTTCCTTCCAAAGAGTGGCTGGTGGGTTTGAACCGCCAGCCTTCTGGTTAGCAGTCAAGTGCCTTAGGCACTATGCTACCAGAGCTCCTAGAGCAGCACTAGGTAATCGAAACAGGTGGTACATCTAAATAATATTATTCTTTATCTCAGTTACTGCTTCCTATTAAGCAACCCTTAACCATCAATTTTACCTGAAAGATGGCTTCACGATTTGTCTTGTCTTTAACCTCTCACATGGTGTCTTCCCTAAACTACCGTAACATTCTCCTTAATACAATTCATCACCTACCCTGTAGTCAGAACCCTAAAATGAATACATTTGCATAAGTGAATATTCATAAACTGGTGAATGGATAAAAAAATGTGGTATGTTGATATAAAGGGATATTATTTAGCCATAACAAGGAATGAAACAATGATATATATCACAATATGGATGAACCTTGAAATCATTATGTTAGGTGAAAGTAGCCAGGCACAAAAGACCATACTGCATGATTCTATTTTGTATGAAATAGAATCATGCAGTATGTGGCCTTGTGTATCAAATGGAATCCATTATATGCAAATCCATAGAGACAATAAAACGATTAATGACTACTAGAGGGCAAGGGCCACCACTCATTTGTCAGTTTGTTATACCGTGGTTGGTTGCGTGCTGCTGAGATGCTCAAAGCTATGCCACTGTTATTTCAAATACAAGCAGGGTTACTCATGTGGACATATTCCAGCAAAGCTTTCAGACTAAGACAGAGTAGGAAGAAGGACCTGGTGAGCTACTTCTAAAAAAATTGTCCAGCGAAAACTTTATGGATAGCACTAGAATCTAATAATGCTGTGTTCTAGTTGCCTAGTGCTGCTCTGACAAGAATATACCACAAATGGGATGGCCTTAACAAACAGGAGTTTATTCTTATAATTTGAAGGCTTTAAGTCCAAGTTCAAAGTGCCAGGCTCTAGGGGTATGTGAAAGCCCCTCAACCTTTTGGGCTTTACCTCTGCCTCTTGTTCTTGGCCCACTGAAGCTAGAAGCATCTCTTCACGCAGGCAGCTAGTGGCTGCTGAGACTAACAAGCCCAAGTTCGACAAATAAAATGGTACAGTCCCGATGTTACCAAACCACATGGCAGGCCATTGATTCGTTTCCATTGAAAGTCCCAGGATCAGCAGAGCATGGGAGGCTGCTTAACGACAACTTAGCTACATGCAGGGTTCAAGCATACCATAAGCTAGAGAACATTCCCAAAGCTGTTTCTTATGCACAGGAAGCAGACCAAATCCCTAAAGCAGCTACTCAGCTGCTTGTGGTAGGTCCCACCATGGAGCTGATTTGCCAGTCTCATCATAGGGAATAACTACCACCAGCTGCCCAGTCACTCAATCAGGCCCAGCCAAGTTAACACACAAACTTAACTACCACAATTCCATCACTTTCCAACTTGGCACCTGTACAGATCTTCAATGGGTATTATCTGTACAGATCTCTTCACTGGGTAACTCCAGTCCCCTAGCAAATGAGTGATGACCTCATTCCCTTGGCCTGGTGGGGCCCGTTCCTCTCCCTCTTGGGCATGGCAGCCTTGCCCCCTCACTCTTGGGCAGCAGCTATGACTCCATTCTGCTAATTCACACAAATGAGCAGCCCCACACTCCAGAACCAAGTTGGTGAAGGTCTGACTCTTTGAAACGTAGGGAGCTGTGGTGGTTCCACCCCCAAAGGCCATGGTCCCACCCTTGAGGATGAGGCAGCTCTGCTTTCTGTTTCCTTGGTCTCTCCGTTTCTGCCAATTAATGCCCAAAGGCAACACACTCTGCCAGGAATCTTCCTGCCCAAAGGGACACTCAGCTTTCCTGCTCTGTGGGCTGGCCAACCTGCTACTCCATCTCACGCTGATCTCATCTATCAATTAATGCCTGAAAACAACCCACTTCACCAGGAAGCCACCTACCCAGTGGTACCTGGCTTTCTCCTTTGTAGGCTGGTAAGCCTGTTGCCATTTAATGCTGGTCTCTGGGCTCTGCTACTACTCTCTCTCATGCTGGTCTCTTTGCCAGTCTCTTGGCTCTGTTGTTGCCATCTCTCATGCCGTATACTGGGATCTCTCTGCCGGGGTCTCAGGTCAAGGATGTACTCCACTCCTATTTCCATATTTTAGGTATCTGTTAAGAGCACCACTCTACTCTCTTGTGTTAGGCTGGGTTCTCTAGAGAAGCAAAACCAGTAAACCTTATATATATATAGAGAGAAGGAAATTTGTCTTAGGAAAATGGCTCACACACTTATAGAAGCTGGCAAGTCCCAAGTTCTTGGATCAAATGTCAAGCTGGAGGCTTTTCCCAACTCACACAGCTGCAGGGGCTGAGGAGCTCAAGGCTGACAGATAGTATACCAGATGTTGACTCCAATGAATGATGAATCCAAGGTCTCCAGGCTGAATGGTGGATAGTTCACTCATGGACAGTTGTAGGCAGCACAACAGGATCCTGATCCATAGAAGAGTGTCTCTTTTCCCAGGATGTCCATAAATATATTGCAAGCAGGCCACACCCCTAGAGAAACTCCCTTTCAATGGATTGGCTGCTCAAAACATATACATCCGATCCCATCATGGGAATAATCCACATCACAACTACTTAAACCACACAGAATTGTGGTCCAGCCAAGTTGATACACAGCTCCAACGATCACATGCTAGAAGATGAGCCCATTCAAGTTGGAAGGTGATCAAATACAACTCGGAAACTGCTATCTCCTCAAAGTAGAGTTGACCTTAATGATACGGATGTAGCAAAGCTTTTGGGATCTCCATTTGCTAATGTGGCAGGTCTCAAAATAAGAGGGTTAGCAAAAAAGAGGGAGACTCTCAAAGAGACTGACTGACACAGTGGCTGCAAAAATGGGCTCAAACAAAGCAAGAATTATGAGGATGGTCTGTGTTTCGTTCTGTTGTAACTAGGGTTGCTATGAATTAGAACTAACTCGATGGTATCTAACAACAACATGAACAAGGGGGTTTAACATCAAGTTTAAAATTATTTGGTCAATTTAAAAAAAAAAATTATTATTATCACTGAGATATAATTCATATAGCATGAAGTCTATCCTTCTGAAGTTCCAGTGTGTTTTTTTTAGTATATTCACCAAATTATATACCGATTACCACAAACTCTTCTAGAACATTTCCATCACCCCTAAAAGAAACTCTGTACCTATTAGCAGTAACTCTCCATCCTTCTTTCTCCTTGTCTCAAAACTATCAATGCAAAGTCTGCTTTCAAAACACAGTAAGTTAAAAAAATAACACAGAAAGTTGAATTCTGGATTAGTAATTCTACATCCCATGGAAATAAGCCATATACTGATTAACCAAAACATATTCATGTTGATTTTTAAGAACATGTTCATGTTGATTTTTAAGAAAAGAATCCCTCAAGCATAGTTAACATATGACCCAGAAATTCCACTCCTAGATATATATCCAATGACAAGTGAAACATGTCATAAAAAGATGTACATGAATATTCTTAACAGCATTATTCATAACCAAAACATGAAAACAACCTATCTATGTAAGATTATAAGCTTCTTCTAAATTAGAGAAAACTCATTAAAGCAACTACAATTTTGACTTTGAAAATATTTTATTTCAATAGTAAATAGTTAGACCATTCAATTACTATATTTTTTGGATATATTTCTCCAAACTACATAGGTCTTTGCTTTTATCCTCTAAAAATTATTCACCTTTTTAAGCTCTCATAATAATGTCCTTGACGATAAAAGTATTATTTGTATTAAAAATATTATCTAAACTAGACCTTTTTTTTTTTGGACTCACTAAAGCTTACTAAAAATACTTCCTATAGCACAGGTGTGGCTGTACTGTAGCCAGAAGAAAAAGGTTTAACTATGAATTAAAAATAGTCAATATTATACATAATTTCTTTAATTTAAAAATGGTATGTTTGCACTTTGGGAATATAAATACACAAAGCTTACCTTAACTCCTGCACTTCCATTAGGCATTTTCTGTAGTTCATATGGAAGCCTGACCCTTTCGGTTTGCACAATGGGATCATCAAATGATCGCCCATGAAGCTTTTTGAATCCATGAATTGTATTTCTTACATTTGTGACAATCTGTTGGCAATAAAGACTTTTAATTATTACTTAATGAATACAAAATAAAATGCTACAAACTCAACATTTCCTAATATATAGTACGAAAAGTACAAGAAAAGAGTAAAACAAGTTCATATATGAATCAATTATAAAAGCTTGTATTTGTTGCTGGTAGGTACCGTAAAGTTGGCTCTGACTCATAGTGACCCCATGTACAAGAAGAAAAAAAACAATGCCTGGTGCTGTGCCATCCTCACAATCTTTGCTATGCTTATGCCCATCATTGCAGTCATGTGTCAATCCATCTCATTGAGAATCTTCTCCTTTTGTACTGACCCTCTACTTTCCCAAGCATGATATATTTCTCTCGGGACTGGTTCCTTCTGATAACATGACCAAAGTACTTGAGAAGAAGTCTGGTCAGTCTTGTTTCTAAGGAGCAGTCCAGCTGTACTTTATTATTATTTTTATTGTGATTTGGGTGAAGATTTACAGAGCAAATTCACTTTGCATACAGCAGTTCACTTATACTTTGTCTCATGTCATTGATCACAGTTTACTACAATGCAACAGCTCCCCTCCCACTTCCTCCCTATAGTTACCTCTTCCCAGTGTCCATCCCTCCATACACTCCTGCCCCCTG